TTAAGAGTATTGTAATTAGGTCTTCTTCTGATGGTTGTAAATTAAGTTTCAAAATCCCAATTTGGGATATGTTAATAAACTTATTGTATTAATAAATATGATAAACTTATTATTATATTATAACATTTTTTTATAGCGCTCCCATACCTGAGTTCCTGGCTCTCTGCTATGTTATATTAGGCTGATTTAAAGATTACCAGTGGACGAAAATTGGTAACAGAACTTTCTGTAGCAAGTCAAACTAGGTATATAACAGATTTAATAAAGGTTGCATTGTACATCGGGAACTGGCAATTGCATGGTTATGCGGCATTTGGGTATGCAAAACTCACAGCAATGATTTGCTTCACTCACAGCAATGATTTGCTTCCCTGGCCACCAAACAACAACTGCCAAGGGTACAATCCCAACCTGAAGCAATATTTATTGATCAATTAGCTATATATGGAACACCCTGAAAAAGAAATCAATAAAGTTAAATGTTGCGAACGTTAAGAAGATCATCAGAGCTTTAGACTCAACTTTTGCATTTGCGAAAATGAAAGGGTTAAATAATTCAGGCTTGTGGTCCTTGTGCTATGTCCTGGATTCGAAGCCCTGATCTCGCTGCGATAACGGTTCGGCGCTCTACTAATTGAGCCAACTAGCTAACTGGGAGCAGGTAATTGAGTTGGTTCATTTGACGAACGATAAGTTTCACAGCCAACTCTCAGTACTACTCCTTAGTTACCATGTGAAGTGTATTTAGCCGATTTTTTGAAAACGAGACTAACGAGACTTGCAGTCTGTTATTTGAGTGATTTACCAATCTCAAGTCGATTGGAAATTTTTCCCTATCTCCCTCCCTCTGATAACAGTAGAGACCTTACGATCCAATAACGGCGACGCCAATGAAAACGTCGCTGAAAAACTGACTTCGCGTCCTTTAAAACCACTTCGCGATTATCCCAAGTCACCCAGTCACTTGAAAGAAGGGAATTTCTGTTGGAGCTGAAGAGAGGGGCCGTACCCGAGTGCAGACAGAGATTATAGAATTTATCGCCTTGCCGTTCCCGTCCTCAAAAAAAAAAAAAAAAATAATAATAATAATAATAATAAGATTTGGTCATTTCACGAGGTAGTCGTGTAGGGACGGCAAAGGAATGTACAAAAAAGCGTGATGCACGTGCAGAGTTGTTTTTTTTTTATAACTAAAACTATTGCTTGTTGACGTTGCCGTTGCTGTCGACGTCGTAGTTTTGTAAGTTCCCCATTGCTAAACTGTGACAGTTTTAGAAGATTTTCCATTTGTATTCCTTCTGGAAATTAGAATTGCCGACCGATGCATCAGCCGACATCTCGGTCGACTGTCGGTTGACATATCGGTCGCTATATCGGTGGAGAGTACGTTGGTCGAGTCTCGGAGGATTGAGTCTCGAACGAGAGTTGGTTGCTACACTCCATCAGTTGACAGTCGGTCGATGGTTGGTCGTTTAAAAAAATTTCGCCGACGGATCACCGACACGGATCTACCTCGGTCGACTGTCGTTCGACATGGCCGTCGATATATCGACCGATATCGACTTAGACCCTTGACCGACTCACCACCAACACTCGACCAATGTAGCTACCCATATGTGACCGACAGTCGACTGAGATATCAGCCGATAGATCGGTAGACAACCCCTATAAGACATATGATCCCCAGGGCTTGATATCCGTTTTTTCCAAATCGATGAGGTCACTGTAGTTGTTAAGTAAAGGCGGTGCAATGAATTTACACTTAATTCGCCTTCACAACGTGTTACGGGCATAGTACATATAATTTTTGGCCTAACGCGAATGTTCAGATATGAGGATGTATCATATCAATTGCTGAAGCGGAGGAAGCTGGTCTTTTTTCGGGAAAATTAAGGTTAAGACGTGGATTTTTGAAGTAACAAGCAATTTTACTACACAGGATTACCCGTCTCCTAAGTGTGGTTATAACATTTAGACCGTTTCTTGATCTGAAGCATCAATCTTTTGACTGTAGCCTGTACCAGAATCATATACTCATATATTTAACCCTGAAGAACCCTGAAGCGTCCAAATTCCTTTCATTTGTTTAGAAACATGCTGGGGTTGTTTAGCCGTCCAATCAGAAGCTGGCGATTTTTTTTTTTTTGCCCTAAATATGGAATCAGAGAATTGAAGGCATCCCTCTCTGAAAAGTAGCTGATAAAGAATTTTTGAAGTCCATAAACAGTTCTCTTAGTACATTCATAACTCAATAGTTACACACTCCGCGGTTTCACTTTTTTTACAGAACAATATCAACGGACAAAAACATTTACATTTACAGGTAGCGGAGCCGACAAGTATGTTGTCATTTGTGCGCGCTAATAAGCTGCACTATGGCATGCACTAATAACTTTTTTTCCCGAAAACTTTCCTTAAAAAAATCGATAAGCAGTTTTCCGTCTCCAAGGTCTTTGCAAAAAATATACTATATATGTTATTCCAAGCAACCTTTGAAAACTATCGGGTGAAAAAATAAGGTCGCGTAATGTTGACACAATCAGTACTCTTTCGAAAACGCGCGCAAGCTTTCGTCACCAAGTGCCTGGCCCGTAGATGCTTATTATTATTGGTCGTCTTTGTCTTGTCTGGTTACCCTGGCCATTTTGAATTCCGATTTTCGTCAAATTTTACTTCATAAAACTGTTATTGCCCTTTGTAGCGCTTTGTTTACATCTTGAGACAAAGTTTTCATAACATAAGAAGCGCGACAGTCTCCCGTATCATTGATTTCATATTAGTTACGAAGTAAATTGTGATTGGTTCTCAGAAAAAAAAAAAGAAAGAAAGAAAACGCATTGAAACAGCGTTGTACGCTTAAGGGTTATTTCTAATGATGCTTCTTCTTGTGCCTTCCCGAAAATCGACAAGCACGCCTAAATAACACGCGGTTATTATTTCATACGCGCTCGACGATCTCTGAAGTCTGTGAACAGTCTAGTTTCGCTGTAGCGATAAATTTTTTTCCTTACTTTGACCACCTCATGCTGTCATTCAAGACTGCGGAATGTCTTCAGAGCTTTAATAAGCACCATCTCCTCACATTAACAGACAAAGGAGTTCGGGACCACACATTCTCTCTTGAAAAACCCAAGGGCCTGAAAACAATTCGTTGTGCGAATGTTATCAAATGTACCGGCCTGGTGTGCTTTAGTGAAGAGATTTTTGGTGTCAGCGTTCATAAAAAAGTGATTGTCAATTAACTGACCTTACTAGACATATCACAATCGGTAGAAAAGTACACTGCATAAGAAAATGTGAGGATAAAAAATCGAGACTGAAGCAAAGGTAATGAAACGTGCGAAACCTCAGGTGATTAGGGCAGTGCGGGTAGGTTTCATGTCATTATGGATGACCTTCTCCTCTCTGAAGTTCAAGTTATTGTGAAGAATCGTGAACAAACCAAAAATATACGGTGGGATTGTATTGGGAAGTATACTTCCGAAAAACGAAAGGAATTATTAAAATATTGTTGGAGAAAAAAAAAAAACAAAAAAGAAAAGAAAAATACTGAACCCAGCGTCTTGAGAAAGATTGAATCAAAGCACGCAAACGTCGTTACGCAGGACTTTCTATTGGTCATTTTCTCCAAGCAATGAACAAAGCAGTAACTTTTATTCAAACCAAGGTTTAGATTTTCAGTATCAGAAAGAAAATGACCAAGAGTGTACTGTAAAGAACCCTGCGTTAAAATCACTGGGTAGATGAAATGAGCAGGGAATGAGGAGGGAATGGGAAGTAGCTAATAACCGCGCTAAAGTGGCCTTTTTGGTGATGGAACCGCCACGCTAAGCAAGGGAAGGTGTCGCGACTTAAGTGCTTCATAATCGCGCCATCAGCACTGTGAATTTAAGACAGCCTTGCTAGGGTGATGGGTATAACTTTCGACAGCGATAGAATTTGACGAATGCACATGGTATTAATCATCCAACTTGAAACTAGTATTGCCAGTTTCAGGGGAACAACTTCCGTAAGTAAGTTGCTCCTCTAAATTCTTCCAAGTTGCTTCCTCGTTGGTTTAAATCATAATTATTTGTTGTGATTACATTACAATTTGCAAACATTCCGTTTACGTTTTAAAGCTTTGGAAAGCTTATTAATTCGGAAAAAAAAAAAAAAAGGATTGATCGCTAATCTCCTCTTTCGACGCTTATACACAAAGACACTTAAGGATATAACTGAGACGTCATGAAAAACAAACTGACAAGTGCCTCACAGTAGTAATGCATTAACAATCACTATGTATCACTTTGGCATGGCAGTGCAGTGATGGAACTTAATTTTACTTTTTCTTCATGGAGCAAGTCAGATTTTCTGTGCACATTTTGAGAGAAGCGAATAAACGGCTAATGAGCTTTGCAATATAGACACAAAAAGAAGCTGCAACTCTTGAAACTTGAAGAGCAAAGCAAAATAGTACATCACGGGAAAATTGAATTAAAGCGAAAAGGTAAAGTCAAACATTTAACGTGCAGTTTGATAAGTTGTCTTTGGAAGAAAAGGGGAAGGTAAAGAAATAAGGTTAGTATATGTAAAAATTCCCTTATTGCTTGTGGACAGGAACTAATGATGTACATGTATAAGTGCATGGAAGATGTTTATTTTAAACGTCAGGATTAAACCTCTATTCTCTAAGGGGCAAAATAGTGAGAGGGGGAAGAAAACTAGGAAGGAGAAGGGGTCTGAGGGCGTTCCTGTAAGTTCTTCTCTCTTCCATTTTTTGGTCATTTTTTTTGTGAAATCAGGATGATTTACTGCAATACTTAGGCCAATTCTCCGAAGAGTAATTTCCCCCCCTTTACTCGACCTTTACTTCAGGACTATGATAAATTATGTCCATTTTAGGTAATTCAGTGCTTTACTTCTCCATAATCTGTCCACGCAACAGAAATGATGCCTTCACGTAAAGACAATCTGTATATTATTCGCATGAGAGGGAGCATTTCTTCAGTTAAGCCAAGATGGTGGGAGAGCAAGGCCTTCCCTTTGTCCTCTACGCGGTATTCACTACTGCGGTTCTTGCTCAAGGAAGTCAAGGTACCGTGAAGTATTTGCTTATTGAAATGTTTCAAGAATATGCTTTTAAATACTGATATTTGATGTTCATTTTCTACGGTAAAATTGATGAAAGTTTCATTTCAACTAGTACACAGGAATCGGGGGAGGGGCGCACAAGGAAAGGGAAAAAACGGAACTATGTTCAAGGCCATTGCGCTCAAGACGTTTTGAAATTGTTAAAAGATATTGCAGCCACCGTAAATAGCCCAGAAGTAACGGGAGCTTACTTTTACTAAGACACTTTTCTTCTCTTTATAATAGCAATAAGTTTCAAAGCTGGAAAAACCAACGTCACTGTCAAAAGTCCAGGGTTGTTCGCTTGTGAGACAATCACATTTGCTGAACCGTTCTCTGGTGGAAAGCAAGTAAAAGTCTTTGCTTCCTTTGGTCACTCAGTTAACAACCAGGCCCGTGGCAATGGTGCTGCTATTTGGGTGGAATCGGCAGATAGAACTCAATTCCGCGCTTGTATCTACGAGTACAGCAACGGCTCAAATTCAACTGCTGAGATAAACTGGATTGCCCTACAATCTGCTCCCAAAGGAGCACAACTGAGAACTACTTCCCTGGACTCTTGGACTACCGGAACAGAATGTAAAAAAATCGACTTTCCTCAGGTACGCTTCGTTTTGCTATGATTACCTACAAGGTGCCCAGACAGGATTAATCTAAAAAAAGCAGAAATGGGTGAGTCATGCAAGGTATAGTTAAAGGATGTAACTCACGACCGCAAATGCGAATCCTCTTAAGGAGCTTAACCAGCTTTTCAATCAATGAATTTAGGAAGAAAATTGACGTCGCTAAAGTTTCAAGTTCAATGACCCATATACTATGTACATGCTGTCATGCACGGACTTCATGATTTAACGAGAAATGATAAAAGTCTAAAAGGTGAATCGTTAGTTTGCTTTCAGGACGATTAATACAATGAAACAGCTTACTTTGTTACTGTGATATTTTGTTGCTCGGCTGTTCGCATTTGTTTTCCTGTATTTTGTTTGTCGTTTTTTTTGAATGCGCATTATTATAAAGATGTCCACTCCATGACCCACACTAGCCCACTGATATTATCACTTACCCCCACCCCCCAACTTCAAACCCTCTCACTCTTTCACCCGTATTTGATTATTACACTCTCATATATACCTCCAGTCTAAAAGAAATAAAACATTGGCATTAGATGTCAGTTCTTACGCTCGCCGCCGTAAATCGATTTAGAGAATCTTTTATGAAATATAATCATTGAACACGGTACACGAACTGAAACTAAATTATTTAGGGATGATAGAAGATATAACTTGTATTTTTTGCAAAATTTGTTTTGTAATTTAAATAACTTTACACGTTGTAATTATATTTTACCGTGGCTGGTATTTTGTTTGTAAAATATTTTTGTCCTTTCCTCACGGCTTCAAAGTGAGTGTCTCCTTCCACGAGAAGTTTTTTCTGCACGTGGGTGAAAGTCCGCGTAATTTCATGAATCGCGTTTAAATAAATTTGAAAGATTCTTCTCGTTGTAAATGCAGCTACTGCTGTTGTTGTTGTACAGAGATGAAGCACTGTTTGCTAGATTTCTCGATTTAACTTAAGTCACGGTCCCTGATTATAATTGTTGGTGTTCACACCGTAATGAATGAGATGTAAATTTCCTTTGCCTTTTTTTTTTTTCAGGGTCCTTTAACTCATTCATCCTTTTTCTTTCCTTATTTAAAGCGTTTTGCGACTCCTCCAATAGTACTTGCGATTCCTAGCCACCAGTTTCCTGAGAGACCTCAAGACGCCATGGCAGTGTGGGTGGAGGAGTTGACCGAAGACAGTTTTAAAATCTGTCTTAAGGAAGTGAAAATTTTCGACGGACTTCACAAAGGCATTGCTATTGTAAGCATTGTTTAGAAACTTTTTTAAAGACCTGTATCCAATTGCATCGACTTTTCTTAGCTAAACATACATTGTATTGTATATCTGTCTGGATTTCATATAAGGTGCCTGTACTGAGTCTCTAGACGGTCAACTCCAGCCATTACTCACCCTCCCCACCCATGAAGCTTATGACTAGTCAATCACTTCTCCGAAGCTCTGCTAGTAGTGTTATGATTATGAGTCACCGCATTGATTTGGCTGGCCAACTGGCCACAGGAAAAATTCTCTGACTTTGCACTACTTTCTGACATAAACCTCTAACTCTAAAGTGACAAAATCTCCCCTCCCTACCCCCCTGGTTTTCACTCAAAACAAGGAAGCCACCCACGGATAGGTCTGGGCCAGGGCTCACACTGGCGTGAACACGGCCGATGCCCGTGTTCAAGCGAAAACTTAGCGGGCCCGTTTTAGCAAAATCACACAGATATAAATTTACCAGAATACTTACAAAAATAAATAGTCGAACTAACCATACATTTTTAGTTTTGAAATATCATTCCTCACAGTTATTCCTTTATTAGAGCCTAAACTACATAAAAAAGGACAAATATGTGTATAAAATACCTACAGTTATAAGAAAGCAATTGGTTCGATGAGAACAACCCTCAAGACATTTGGTGAAAAAAGCAAACAAAAACCAAATTAAAAAAAGAAAAAGAAAAAAACTGTCAGTGCAATCAAATCTCTGTTACCATGTGTACATGAGTAAAGGTACTCAAATTAAATCTTACCATAAGGTTTTATGAAATGATATACTTCGGTTATCGACTCAGTACTGGTTTTATTAAATTATTATCAGGTTCCTACTTGAGTAAAACTTCTACAGGAACTGGTCCCATTCCTTGGATAACTGACTCACTAACCTTAAATGTCCTTTTTTTTTTTTCGTTGTTGTAGAACTGGATGGCTTATACAAACCTTCGAGTCCATAACTTCTCCTTATCTGACAGTCTTGTGTTTACGAACAACAACTCACCATCTCAACAGAGTGACTATGCCTTTTGCCAGGTAAAGTGTAATATACACTTATTACTTACGTACTTGTACTTACTTACTTATATTAATTTTTTAAAAATGATTAATTAATTATTTATTCGTTCGTTTCTTGATGATTTACAATTGTACCATGAATTTCACTTATGTATTGTACACGAGACATCCTCTCTTAAGCAGAAACGTAGTTAAATAAATGGTGATGATGTTGTTGTTGATGATGATTATGATGATGATGAACTTAACTATGGTTGGTTTGTAAGTTAATTGAGTTGACGTCAGGAGCCGATTACTTTGTTGACGTTTAGTCAGTCTTCGAGAAGATGTAAGAAAACGTTTTAAGTATTTTTGACCATGCAACTTTAAAAAATTATATCTCTGCTGTTATTTACAGTTCAATATCAAGCTATACCTCATTGGAAAGGGCACAAAATAAACTTTCAGAAAAAAAAAATATTTCGGTCTCAGAGAACCCATAATATTCTGCACAAAAAAATAAACAAGGCATGTTTCTAGATAATTATTTTTAAAAAAATTAAAGAGTGTAATTTTGCATGGAAAGTTGTATATTTTATGTAATACAATACAACTAATTTTTTTCTTCAATATCTCAGTAAAACAGCCCGAATATCGGTCGGAAATATAGAGCGGCTAGCAATTTTTTACAAATTTATTTTGTGACCCATAGCAAAACTAGATACTTTAGCGTCACTTTGTGGCCCGATATGTACCTTCAAAAGACGCTTTATTTTTTAGTTTCAAGGTGAAATATCGAGTTAAAAACAAGCAAACATGAATTAACTGATATAAGTCATCAAAATAAGCAAGGCTTTGAAGGCAAAAAGCTCCGCGGGACGGATTTCACCGCGTTTCAACAAAATGTGTACCAGACTATGGCCTACTCGGCGAGTTGGAAGCAAAGATTCTTACTGTTTTATTACCTCTATTTTCCCGTTTATTTCGCTTGTTATCCTCCAGAATCCTCCAAAATAATTTGCTTGACTTGTATTTGGTCGAAATTCGTCGATAAAAGCTTTCATTCTTGGCAAAAGCCGCGACAAAATTCTTCCCGACGGAAGCGCCATTTTCACTAGATTTGAAAAAATAGTTGCGTAAAGCTCAAAACTCCCCAGGGCCTGGAACTTGGCACATAATTGGCTAAATCTATTGACTTCCTGTGGGCCAAATTTGGAGGCAATCGGAAGTAACACAATTTTTGGCGAGTGTTGGTCGCGTCATCGACCAAAAGTGGTCGAAATGTTCACGTTCGGAAGAGAATGAGAAAATAACATTTTACATTTTTGTTACAGAAAATCAACTTTACAGATCAATTCTACGCTCCCCCAGTGGTAATGGTGACAACTGAACGAGTTAGCAACGATTCACATTTGTCCGGATGTAACGCAATCACTGCTTTGGTCGAGATAAGGGAAGAAACAGACTGGTCGACAGCATACTTTACCCCAGTTTAGTCGAAGGGTTTGTTGAAATACTAGAAAATTAAATCACACATCAAGTGTTATTTTTCAAAGCAACTGCTAATTACTTGAATTAAATTTTCACGCGAAAAAATATTATGAAAATAAGGCAGACAGTAAGAGATTTTTTAATTCTGAATTTTTCTTTGATGTGTTTAGCCTTACAGTTTTCGTTTCACCGATTGTTTTGTGAGATTTTTCAAACTGTTTTGGATAGCAACTAATAATTGCTAATGTTCCACTCCTAGTACACGTCCACCGCAGATACGGAAATTTGTGTCCGAACTTACGACGCCAAGAGCAGGCAGACCATAAAAGTAGATTACCTGATTATTGGAGGTAGGTATTTTAAATAATTAAGTGCTAGCTTCTAAAATATTCTAACTCTTCATAACCTGCAAGTGTAACTGACCCAATTTGGAAGATGTTTTTAACCATTTCATCTTTGACGTCAATGAAGTTCAAAGCAAAGTAGCAATTCATCGGCTTCTTTTTTTTTTTTTTATTCATTTATTTTATTTTATTTGCTATTCCAAAGTACAACAATTACAACAATTACAATTATTATCACAAAGCATACATGCACAAACTTACTATACACCTAAGCACACGTGCAATTCCACAATTACAGACAAGGTAATGCCTACTGTTATTTTACAAGTGCTATTCAAAAAAGAAGAAACTAATCATTTTTTCAAAAGAAGAAAAACTACCTAGATTACAAAGTCCATTTGTCCATTAATTTTTGTAAATTCTTATTCTTAGTAAAAATATATTTTTCTATTTAATATTTACCGTTTATTCTAACTATAAAACTGTTTATGGTTGGGAGTAGTTCATTCCTTCTGCAACTCCATAAATGTATTTTCCCTATAACTATAAGATAATTAAGCAAGGGGCATAGAGTCAGAAGATAAGAAGCCGATCCAAATTTCCTTTAATGTTAGGTGAACTAGTTGTTTTCGCAACCCAAAATGATATGATTCAACACATTTCCAAAATGAATTCGAATAAGGGCAATCCCAAAAGAAATGTCTAATAGTTTCTGATTCCCTTTTGCAAAAAGAGGACAAGTTGTCTGTCCTGTACCCAATCTTGAACAACTTTGAGCTGGTAAAAAGTATAGAATTAAGTATTTTAAATTGAAAGGCTTTGATATAAGGTTCAAACGCGATAGAATGGGGCAAGAGAAATGCCTTTCTGAGATCGTCATTAGATAGATTAAAATCCAACTTCAGTTTTTGTGCATAATTTGGGAGACAAGCCTTCTTTTTGATCAAAAAAGGATAATAATCTTTTGATTTCTTTTTTGCTATGTCGAAAACGCCGCCATTGATTTTAAAGGAAGGTATTGCATTAAAGGTACTCGAATCCGAGCGATTAAGAACTCTTAAGTTGGTTGGTATTGAATGTCTCATACTAGTCCATTCAAGGAAGTTTGTCTTTTTAACATTTTTTGCTATCTGTTCCTAGGATTCCGTATTGCTGAGATCAAAATGTAGGTCTCCTATTTCCCAGATACCAATGTCGCAATATTTCTTGTAGAAAAAGGGGTTGTCGTCTATTCTAAAGTCTCTATTATTCCAAATTACATAATGCCAATCGTTATTAAGAGCATTATCTTCTCGGAGTTCCGACCACCATTTAAGTAGTTCTAAATAAAAGGTAGAGGTAATTTGAAGATCCTTAACATTATAATTGCATTTAAAAAGCATTAGACCTCCAGAATCTTTCAAGATGTATTCAAGGTAGTTTTTCCACGCGCCTGAGTTGTCACTAAATATTCGTTTAAGCCAGGAAAGACGGAGAGATTTTATCAAACTTTCATTATCCACCATTTTGATGCCTCCTTCTTCATAATTATTTATTGTTGACGCTCTTCTTACTTTATCTTTACCTTTCCATAAAAACTTATATAATATATGATTTAAGAGGCAGTCCCGCTAACAGCGGTCCGGTCGATTTCGCGTCAGAAAAAAGTTTCCCTTTAAACTTCGTACACTAAAAAGGTTTGGTATATAAGTAATAAAAATGATTTTCTTTTTTGCAAATAATATATTTCCGCTTTCCTACAGGCGCGATCACGTCCGGGCCAATTCGTCTCCTCCAGAGCCCGGTTTGAGGACCGAAATTTGTCGTTTTTGAGGGCCGCACCATAACAAAACTAAAACGAATTATAAAATATCTTTCACACCAGCTGTTTCCACTGCCTTTTATTGACAAATGAGCAAAATATCGAATTTTTTAATAATTTTGAAGACAATCTGTGAGTCCCGAAAGACACCACTTTGAGCCGGTCACCCGACTGCCAAAAAACATGCTCAGATTCGAGAGCTAAAATCTCAATTGTGGGACAAAAATCTGATATAAAATTTATATCAAGGTCAAGGCCTTACTTCATTTTAAGAGGTTCTAAGGTCAAATCTGCGGGTATCCGCCTGCACACTTAGCGGTGAGAAGGTAATTTTGGCCATCATGGCACTCTGACTCTATAATTTGTATCATATATTTATCTACTTGATCGATCACTCGCTTGACCGAAAAAATATTCACAGCTCTAAAATTTGTTTAAATGTTTCCTCAAAACCTTCAATCAAACGCTTTTTGTAATTTTATTTGAAAATCATAAAGGAAAAATATTTTAGGTTCATAGAGCTAAGGTCAAGGAAACCACTATTGCTTATATGCAAATTAGCTGGTTGTCACGCAATACCTAACCAAAGTGGATGAGAAAGCAGAGTTTGTATCATGGCGACTTGTTTTCTGAAAACACGAGAGTTTGGAGACTGTGGAGAATTTCGAGGTATAGCTGAGCTTGTAAGCTGAGATCAATGTAGGAACGATTTAAGTCAACATTTATCCCGATGTCATTTGAGTCGAGAACGAATTATGGAGGGAGAATTGATTTTGGTGCGTTCAGGTTTGTTTTATACGACCGAAACGCTGAGACAAAAAATGCTTGTTTGTCCGAAGCACCGTGCGTATCTCGGGCAGTACTGGGGAAATCAGACAAAGTTAAGCTCATGCAAGTACCCTGGCCACAAGGGAGAGCACAGAGCGGTCAGAACAGATCGCGCATTTACTTTGAAGGTATCAAGGGAAGTAATGGAAGTGTTTGGTGTTCTTGTTCCTGTCGGAGCACGTGAGTATTTGCCTATTTTCTGGATTACCTCTTATTTGAAATAATTGAGACTCATAAACAACTTGCGTAAATAGCAGATATTATGAATAATCTTGTGTATGATTTTTTTAAGCGACCTGTAGTAGCTGTAGAAAGGCGCACAGGAAAAGGGTCCAGAGTAATTGGCCGTGGCTACAAGGAGGAAACGCGAATGCGGGACCACGCGATGAAGATGATGCAGTACTGCTGACTAGGTATCTTTAATATAAATATTCTTGTTTTTGACATTAAAATGCGCAAAAACAGTTATCCTCAGTTCTTGTCATAGCTCAAACACAATTCTGTTGGCGCAAGATAAGATCGTGAGAACGCTCGTTCGGGATTGGCTAGCTTAGCCCTGTTTGCGTTGTAATAAAAAGCCGACATGCTTTGTTCCATCCACCCTCTCGGTACTCTGAAAATACCCCAAGAACGGGACCATTAGAGAAACGTAATTGTTGGTAACAACATAAAGGAGCATTTGTATCCAGGAAAAAAGTACCCTAAAAGTTTAAAAACGAGCCTAAGGGACGGACCATTAAAGAAACTAAATTGTTGGTTACAGTATAAAGGAGTGTTTGTATATAGGAAAAAAAAACGTGAAAAAAGTGTTGTCGATCACCTTTTCAGTCACTTTATATTGTTTGTCCCAAACAGCATTGCGTTCAGACCTGCAAACCAAAATGTGGTAGCTTTGATTTTTTTATTTGTTTGTTTAAATGGCACAATCGATTTAATATGGATATGAAATCTAATAACAATTTCTGGGTGTAGGCGTGGCCGTCGGGGTGATTTCAGGCATTAGAAGAGATATGCCTCCTATATGCTGCTAAATTCCATAACTTGAAGTTTTCGGAGGGAAATCACCCTAGCTTCCCTTTAGCAGTAGGTCTCTTGCCAGTCGCTTTTCCATCATTGTCATGTGGTAATGCCTTCTTGTGTCTCATATAGGAAGAGCAAAGACAAGGCCTTGGCGGAGATGCGAGAGATCCCACCAGACACCCCAACTGTTTCCACACCACTTGGTGACTTCCCTTGGACACCTGGACAGTGGCTCAAACTAGAGTCAGTGGACGATGACAGTACAGGCGAGGACATGCAGACTTTTCCAGACCAGACATTCGAGGTGTATAATACCGCAATGGCTCAAATCGCTGGACTGTCCGATATCAAGATTTTAGAGCCGTTGACCTTTAGGCTGAAAGTGGACTGGGGCACTGCGACAGAGAAAGAAAAGCAGACGTGCGAAGAGAAGGTTGACGAGGCCTGTCGGGCAGTGTGTAAAGTGATCGCATCAAGCTCTAGCGAGGAGTTGCTGAAATCGTAAGTGAAGCGTGCTTCCAGGTCAGATAAAGAGGTCGAGGCACTGACGTCAGCCTACAGGCAAGCACCAACCAAGAATCTAAAAACACAGATCCTAAGTATATATGCCTTGCGCTATACGTCAAACGAACTGAAGGCAATGCACGCGCCCTTTGAGAAGCTCAGTGATCGCCAAATAAAGAAAGCAAGAACACATGCAAAAACTGTAGGAGTTGGGCTCGAAGTTGAAAAAGTTCCTCATTACAGGGTACGCATTGATAGCTCGAAACTAGAACACTTTTTGGATTTTGCTGACCAGCCTTATTTTTATCAAGATGTTTCTTTTGGAACGAGAACATTTAAGCTGGACTCAGGTCAGCAGATGGTTATGCCTAACGTAGTCAGAACTGTAGGGCGTTCAACAATGATTGAGCAATATCATCAGTGGTGCAGAGAAGAAGACTATCAGCCTTTAGGCAGGTCCACCTTATACAGGATATTGAAAGTGCGAGAGGCATCACAGCGCAAGTCACTCCAGGGCTTAGATAACACGGCATCAAGTGGGGCAGAAGGCTTTGACACCCTCAATAAAATAGTGGATGACTTGGAGCAGTGTGGAGCACGCCATAAATGGTGCGAGGGATCTCGGGATAATCTAAAGGGAGCAAAGCGCTACTTAAACACGAGCTACCGTGCGCACTGTCGTGAAGACAGCGACAATCTGTGTGCTGAGCACTGCAGAGAACACGCACTTAGCGATACGCAGTGCTTAGAGTTCAAGACATCCTGTACTCATGATCATATGGAGCTGTGTGAAAGCTGCGACAGTCTCAGGAACACACTGGGCTCTGTTTTGTCTGAGATTAAAGGTTCACAAGATGTCCAGTTCTACAGCAGAGACCAGCAAGAAGACATGTTGTACGATGCTGCTCAAGCACAGGACATGGTTCTCCAGTGGAAGGCCCACATCCTAAGGGCAGAGAATCAAGATCGCGCGAAAACTGATGCCGTTAATTGCCTTCAGAGTGATACCATTCTCATAGTGATGGATTGGGCCATGAAGTTTATACAGATGAAATACCGCGAGCAACAATCAGAATGGTATGGAAAGCGTGGGATGAACTGGCATATAAGCTGTGTCCTCTCAAAACCAGCAGACAGAGAACAGCTTGAGGTTACTTCTTATGTGCATCTCTTTGACAATTGTGCCCAAGACTCTTACACAGTTTACGCGATAATTAAGCATCTCTTGAAGACTCTGAAAATCGCCAACCCGCACATCAGCAAAGCCTTGCTGCGTTCAGATGGAGCTGGATGTTATCACAACAACAACCTGATTGCTGCTTTGAATGAGGTTCACGTTCATACTGGCATAAGTGTGTTAAGGTAATTGCTTTATTGTTTATATCTCTTATTGTACATCGTAAACATTTTACTACTCCGAGATATCAGCTCAAGGAACAAACATGCTACATTCATATATTTCATAAACTCTGTGCGCTAAGTAGCCACGTGCGTATTTATTATTCTCCATTGCGTTTCACTGCAGAGATCATAAACTCGTCACTCTGGATACCGAAATATGCATGCGCCGGATGTGATTTGTATAAAAGAAAACGGGAAAGTAAAATTCAATTCTTATCAAGGGGATGTTTGCTTCGATACTTTAAGGATTTTTCAGATAACAACAACTTCCAGTAAGCGCTTTCACCGTTGATTTCTAGGTATGACTTTTCGGAGCCGCAGTTCGGGAAGGATGTGTGCGACCGCATCATCAGCCCCCTGAAGGGCGTGGTCAGACGCTTCTGTAACGAGGGTAATGATATCCTGTCGGCGGCTGACATGCGTGAAGCGCTCAAGGTCCGACCAGTGAAGGGATACACAGCTGCTGTTTGCGAGATAGAGCGCACTGATCAAGAAATCAAGGTAAACCGCATCCCAAACTTCAGCACCTTTCACAACTTTTCATATGAGGGAACTGGGCTGCGAATGTGGAAAGCCTATGATACTGGAGCTGGAAAACTCGTGCTGTGGTCAGACCTAGACGTCCAAGTTCCCGGTGCAATAACCTTGAAACCTGCCACCAACCAACTACAGTTCTGGGATGTTCAACCTAGGTGTGTAAAACTACAAGGAAAGACGAACCAAAGTGTAAAGCTTGACACAGAAACTGCGCTATTCGAATGCAACGAAGCCGGCTGCTCACATTCATTCGATAACTATGATGCCTTACAGGACCACATCAACTTTGGCAATCATGATCCCATCAGCACAAATCAAGAAAGTGTTTACGACAAGTTGCGTCGCGAGTGGGTTCGGAAATTCTCGGCAATGTCAGTAAGTGAGCAGAAACCGAAGCAGCCTACATCAGCAAAAAAAAAGCACTATGACAGCAACTCATGCGGAGTCTTCTGAAGCCGGATGGGCCTTGCAGAAACCGAGGGTAGTGGGACAAGGTTCTCAGAGAAGGTAAAGTCATATCTCCAAGCCCGATTTGACGTCGGAGTACAAACTGGAAGAAAGTCTGATCCAGTTCAAGTGTCAGCGGATATGAGAAGCGCCAAAAACCAAGACGGCACTAGAAAATTCTCGAGAGACGAGTGGCTGACGAAGATACAAGTTCAAGCCTTCTTTTCCCGACTCGCTGCAGCGCAGAAGAAACAGGTGACTCAGAGACACGTGGAAAAAGACGACGAAAATACTCTGCTGGATGAAGATCTTGCACACCTGGACCAACAAAACAAAGATGAGGATGTTCAAGAGGTGCTGTCGCAAATAGGACTGAAACATCCGATCACATATGATGGCTACGACATCTGCGATCTGGTCAAGACTGAGGCATTGTCGCGCTTCACTGTGAAGGAACTGAGGGTCATGTGTGACCACTTTGAGCTGCCACGTAAATCAACGGACAAGAAAGCCGCTCTGATTAAACACGTTACCGACATGGTGGAAGAGTGTAGCTGCTCATAAACACGGCTGGAAAAGAACACATTGATTTTTATTCGGCGAATCAACTGGGCCGTGAACTCAGTTAGCATGTTCCACTTCGAGAGGGTGTTGTAAACAAGAGCTCTATGTACGAACCTTTTTAGAATGATCAGAAAGCCGTACCCCAGCACCACACCCATGTTCCGCCACTTATAGTGAAAATCCTAAAATAAGTGAACTGTATATGAAACTCTGGATCCGTAAATAATTATAGTATATGAGAGGGAGTACAGGGCTCGGGGGAGGCTTTACTTGTTTGCGAAACTTTGTTCTGATTTGAGACTTTTATTAGATAACAAAATACACAAAGTGCATTTTACCCCTGGATTTCTGTACTACGCTAAGGTGAATTGACAACACCCTACAAAACAGTCTCGTGGGCATAAAATTAGCCTAGCCTGGATTCTTTTACAGACATATTTTTGTTAGCCTAGTATTTTTCGTATTTCGCTACTCATGTTTCATGGGAGATTCTGAACCAAAAACATCCGGGTTTTTTTTAGCTGGGATGAAATATTTAAGTTAATCTTGACTGAAGAGGCGAATATAGGGCACATAGTAAGCGTATAGATTTTCTATCAGTGCGCGACTCGAGCGTTACATTCACACTGTGCTATATAATACATGGCTGGATCTCAGTCACAGTGCCAGTAATTCGTATTCTGCGTAAATTGGCTGACTTCAAAACCGACTGTAGAATTCACCAAAGAGGGCATTTCATATTGATAGTAAAGCAGATTGTGCCATTTAAACACAGAAACGAAAAATAAAAGCTTCCACGTTTTGGTTTGCAAGTCTGAACGCAATGCTGTTTGGGACACACAAATATATAAAAAGTGACTGGGGAGGTGATCGACAACATTTTTTCACGTTTTTGAACTTTTTGGGTATTTTTTTCCTGTATACAAATGCTTCTTTATATTGTTACCAACAATTTAGTTTCTCTAATGGTCCGTCCCTTGGGGTGTTTTTAGAGTACTCAGAGGATGGGCGGAACAAGGCATGTCGCCTTTTTATTACAACGCAAATACGGCTAAGCTAGCCAATCTCGAACGAGCGTTCCCACGATTTTATCTTCTGCAAACAGAATTGTGTTCCCTCTCCATAATCCGCCTTCGACTCAAATGACATCGGAAAAAATTGTTGACTTAAATCGTTCCTACATTGATCTAAGCACACAAGCTCAGCTATACCTCGAAATTCCCCACAGTCTCCAAATTCTCGTGTTTTTAGAAAACAAGTCGCCATGATACAAACTCTGCTTTCTCATCCACTTTGGTTAGGTATTGCGTGACAACCAGCTAATTTGCATATAAGCAATAGTGGTTTCTTTGACCTTAGCTCTATAAACCTAAAATATTTCGCCTTTTTTGATTTTCAAATAAAATTACAAAAAAAGCGCTTATTTGAAGGTTTTGAGGCAACATTTAAGCAAATTTTAGAGCTGTGAATATTTTTTCGGTCAAGCGAGTGATCGATCGAGTAGATAAATATATTATACTAATTATAGAGTCAGAGTTATTTTTGTAAACAAAGTGCCATGATGGCCAAATTTACCTTCTCGCTGCTCCGTGTGCAGGCGGATACCCGCAGATTTGACTTTAGAACCTCTTAAAATGAAGTAATACCTTGATCTTGATATAAATTTCATATCAGATTTTTGTCCCACAATTGAGATTTTTGCTCTCGAATCTGAGCATGTTTTTTGGCAGTCGGGCGACCTGTTCAGAGTGGTGTCTTTCTGGACTTACAGATTTTCTGCAAAATTACCAAAAAGTTCGATATTTTGCACATTTGTCAATAAAAGGTAGTGGAAACAGCTGATGTAAAAGATACTTTATAATTATCTGTAGTTTCGATATGACGCGACCCTCAAAAACGACAATTTTCGGTCTTTAAATCGGGCTCTGGAGGAGACGAATTGGCCCGGACGTGATCACGCCTATGGGAAAGCGGAAATATATTATTTGCAAAAAAGAAAATCATTTTTATTACTTATATACCAAACCCTTTTAGTGTACAAAGTTTAAAGGGAAACTTTTTTCTGACGCGAAATTGATCGGACCGCTGTTAGCGGGACTGCCTCTTAAATCCTTGACAATGTGTTGCGGAGTAGGTAACAAAGAGGAAGTGTAAACGATCTTAGGTATAAGAAGTGATTTGATTAGAGTAACCTTTCCGTAGACAGAAAGCCCCCTTGAGGACCAGATGTTGATTAGTTTTTTAATGGCGACGATTTCCTCTGAGAAATTCTTTGAGTGAGACAACTTATGGTCATAGGTGAAAAAGACACCAAGGGCTTTTATTGGCTCTGTGGGCCATTTGATTCGTAGAGGTTTATTTTCACTGTTCTTCAGTGATCCTATCCACGTTCCTTCAGTCTTTGAACTATTTACCTTTAAGCCAGAAAGCTCCTTAAACTTATCAAGCAGTTGGAAGAGTTTTTGAGCTGACTCTAAATCAGCGAGTACAGCAGTAGTGTCATCAGCGTATTGAAGAAGTTTGGTCTCTTCTTGATTTATTACTATTCCTTTTATTTCTTCGCTAGCTCTGATAGCGATCGCTAAGGTTTCCACGGCCAAAAGAAAAACATATGGGGAAAGAGGGTCACCCTGCCTGACGCCACGTGTCAGTTCAAAATAGTCTGAACACAACCCATTATTTACCACACAACTCTTAATATTTGCGTAAAAATTTTTGATCCAGCGCTCAAAATTTGGACCAAAATTAAAGACATCTAGACAATTATACAGGAAGTTCCATTCTAAAGAATCGAACGCTTTTTCAAAATCAATAAATATCAACAGACCAGGCATATTTTCCTTATCTGTTAAATCCATGATATCGAAGATCGACCTAACCGTTTCACCAATATAGCGTTCGTTTACATAACCAGTTTGGTTATGGTGGATTATAGAAGGAAGTATATCTTTAATTCTGTTGGCAATCACTTTTGATATTATCTTAGCGTCAGCATTGACAGGTGTTATGGGCCTCCAATTTTCTATTAATGTACGATCTTTGCCTTTCTTTTCTATTGAAGTGATTACAGCCTGCCTTTGGGAATTAGACATTTCTTCTTTATCAAAGGATTCATTGACGCAATCTATGAAGGGTTTACTAATGAGATCCCAGAAGCTTTTGTTAAATTCAATGGGGAGACCATCATTCCCTGGTGATTTATTGTTTTGAAACGTTTCTATAATTGTCCTACATTCCTCGGTAGAAATTCGTCCTTCACACGATTGCCTTTGTTCTTCCGATAGTTTTGGAATATTTAAACTATTTAGAAATGCCTCTATGGAATCCGTAACCTCTACAGAGTCCTTAGTTTTGTATAGGTTTTGATAAAATCGTTTTTGTTCGGCGAGTATCCGATACGGGTCTGTAGTTATTGAACCACTTATTAACAATTTTCGGATGTGTTTTTTGACATGGTTTCTCTTTTCTAGATTTAAAAAGTATTTAGTACTCCTTTCACCATACTCATGCCAACGTGCTCTTGACCGTATGACGATTCCTTTTACTTTTTCCTCATAGAAAAGTTCTAATTTTTCTTTGATTTCATCTAATCGCAATCTATTTGAGGCGCTAGGGTCATTTTCAAACAGCCTGTTAGCATCTTTAAGTTCTTGTTGAATCCGCTGCTCTTTCTCATATTTAAGTTTGGCTTTTTCTTTGGAGTAGCTAATGGCTTGCAATCTAATATTGTATTTGATCCAGTCCCAAACGCAGCGTTTGTCAGACAGATCAATTTCACCTTCTTGGTTCCATTTGGGTATATTAATTCGTAACTGTTCTAGGTAGTTTTCATCCTCTAAGAGCGAAACATTAATTTTCCATATACCAGGACCTTTTATCTCTCCAATGTCTCCTAGAGCTAAGGTTATTGCAGCATGATATGTGCGTAT